AACCACTAGGGATTCTCCGTCCCGGCGGACATTCGTAGTACGTGTCAACCGCCTCTGACAGCTTCGTAACATGTTTACCGAAACTGCTTAGTAAATGTTCGAATGGTTGATAACTTCTAATTCAGCCCCAAAAACTAGCCTAGAAATATGTAATACACGAAAAAAGTGAACAGAGGTCATCAAAGGTGACCTTCAGGTGACCTTGACACCCACCCTAATGAATGGGGTCAACATCGTATTACATGTTAGAACGTTTGAAACCACGAAAAGACTGCAAACGCGCGGCTAATGCGATTCGACATGCGCCGAATCGCGATTCCGGCCAAACATGGTCTAAAAAAAACAGGTCGAAGGTCATTTGGGTCAGGGTCATGACATTTTTAGGGTAGTTGTAAAAATTGATCAACGCAAGGTTACTGAAAGTTTCGTCGCGATCGACCGCGCTTTTTACGCGAGTTATTCGCGAAAAACTAAGGGGGGATCCGTTCGAATACGGGCGAGGTTTAAGGTGGTATGGTCACTTTAACATTAGTTTTGAGATGAGATAGCCAAATAGGGGTCCCTGGCTCACATTCACCGGATTCGGCACTTGCAATATCGAGAAATGCCTTAAACCGAAACTATTTCACTTCAAAATTGCAGCACATTGGATTCAGAGGGGCTAATGCATGTGAATGCCCCCTCTGAATGTATGACGTCAGCGCAGCTCTAGTTAATTGTGACACAGTAGGGAATTTATGCCTTTTGCCCACTCCCCCCACGTGGTGATGCTAATCATGCGTGTGCACCGGAGATGAGATGCCGGGCGTTTTGCATTGAAAATTGGTTGAGTGACATTTTTAAATAACCTAAAACAGCCATCCAATTGATGTTCGAACCTTAAAGGTAGTGTGCCCATAGAGATCTTATATACATAGAGATGACATGCACTTAAAATCGTGGCGATTCAGTGGGTCTTTTTAAGCAACTTATTTTCAGCCAGTAGCGTGCCAATATGGCCAAGGCATTGTTAGTCTGAAGAAATTAATACGTAGCGAGCGAAGCAAGCGTAGTCTTTCGTAGATTAACGGACATTTCTGAGTATGAGCGGCCGGCCGGCCGTGGTTACGCTTTTGCGAGGCTTATATCTCAGCAACCACTTGACCAATTTACATTCGATGATTTTTCTAGGGTAGCTTCATTCCTTATACCAAGTATTGAACTATTCTCGATGCATGTGGGTGACCGCTTATGCACGTGCCACGTGCAAAACGAAGAGGTGTCAGTTTTGCAATTGTTGCAATATATTGGTAATTACTTGGCCGATTGCGCTGAAAGTTGGTATGTTGGTAGGCACCCACTAGGCAATGCATATCCATGTGCCACAGTTGGGGTGCTGCTGCACGTGCGCACGTGCAGGGGTCGATTCCAGATCTCGAGAACGGCTGAACCGATTGTGCTGAAATTTGGTACATGGTTAGGGACCAGTTAGTAGGGTGCCGTGCAAAAGTCAGTTGTGACCCATTTTGCACGTGTGCACGTGCAGGGTGCCGCTTCCAGATCTCGAGAACGGCTAGGCCGATTGCGCTCAAATTTGGCACATCGCTAGGGACCGGTTAGTAGGGTGCAGTGCACAAGTTAGTTGGAGGTGTCCCTTGCAAATTCTCTTGTCCAAAGCCCACCCTCTCGCTCGCTCCGTTGGTCGCCCCAAAAGGCGTTTTACTGGTTAAAAATATTGCTGTTCTTTCCTGGCTGATTTCATTCCTGAGGTAAGCAATGAAATTTGTAGCATGATTTCATTTTGTATTTTTATTGAATTCCTTAAAAGCTCGCCTAAAAACATTCTCTCTCATTCAGGCTCTCATCAACCCGGCAGGTGGTGAACCTCCCGGCCACCTTCCGCGCGGTGGGGGGGGGGCATTTTTTGCCCCCTCCCGTATCTCCGAAGCTACTGGACGGATCTGTAACATTCAAACGATGTTCGATAGCCCTGTCAAATTTGTCGACGGAACTCCAATTTCATTAACCTCGGGGTCACCGATGACGTCACAGGTCAGGTCAAAGATAAAATGTTTCGCGTACGTTAAAAATAGGGCGTACGTTGCCTAGTATATATGTTGCTATTAGAGGTCACTGATAATACCATGTCAGGTCACAGGTCAGGTCACCAAGGGTCAGCACATGAACCAACTTTACTATTTACTAGGGTTGTGCGATGCATGTTTTATGGCCCCCCTGACATGGTCCCCCCCCCAAAAGGTTACAGGTCTAAGGTCATTTGGGTCAGGTTCATGGAATTTTCATGGTATGTTCCTTGAGATTTGGTCAAGTTTGGCGCTTTCGGTCAACCGTCGTGAAAACGGCTGTTCCGAACCTTTCTGAGCACGGTGCAAGCTCAAATATACATATGTTGCATGTTCCCATTCAATGATACATTGACCCTCGCCGGACCTATTAGTTTTCTACAAACGCGCCGGCCGGGGGGGGGGGTTGGTACGATTTCCCTCGCCGTTTCGCCCCTGATGAAGCTAGAGCGTCGCGGAAAAAACAAGCGTGTGCGCCGTTACAAGACGCAGGGACTGGTACCCGATTTTAAGGTCTCATGAGTTCAGGTCAAGTGACCAAGGGCCAGGGTTCAGTTTTTCATAACTTCGCAAAACAAAAAAACGGTCGGAGAGCCGCGATTTTGGCATCATCGTGTTCGCCTCGCTCAGACGCGTCGAATGGTATACTTTTTGTTCGGGTGAGGTCAACTTGAGGTGTTGACCTCGGGTCAAGGGCAGGTCAGCTCCCCCAGATCACGAAGCTGGTTGAAAGAGGTCATGTTACATATTACTCGAATCGGCAGGTCTTCCTGAGTTTATTGGTGGCTTTCCCGACTCGCTAACTCAATTTGATGAGGAGTTATTGATGAAAAACTCTAATGACCCAAGTATATAACTGCAATGAAAACCGTAAGCCTCATGCTAATAATTATATTCTAAATAGGGCCAAGAAAATGAGACATGTTGGCCAAACTGACAAACTGACTTATGTCAAACCGTCTTACGGTTTTCATTGCAGTTATATATGTAATCATGAGCCTCAAAACCGCGCTTTCTTTAATCAATGACCCAAGTGACCATAAATGACGCCACGCAATGTCAACAATGCAAAAGTGAAGCATCGGACCTTGCAAGACGTGCAAGAAATCACGATTCCATGTGCCGAAGACAGTTTGAGATAGTTCTCGGCGCTAACATAGCAGTTTTCATTTTTCCCCATTGACTTATACCTAATGGTGAGGTCACGTGGCCGACCTGACCTCATGTGATTTTTAGGGAAAATCCGAGATATATGCACAAGTTGTGAGACCTCTGGATGATACTACATCCTGTAAGTTTCATCTCCCTGTGAAAGCTCCTCTGGCACTGACGGCGTTGCGAAGTTGCGACATCTGAGGACTGTGCAGAGGTTCACTTATGACGTCACAGGTCAGTGACCTGACCTGACCTGAAAATGCGGTTGGTGTCACAAGATGCGGCTTGGATCACAGGTCAGGTATGCCAAGTTTCAGCTCTCTATCGCTTGCTTGTTCGGAGCTATCGTGAAAAACCCTATAGGGAGGCGGCACCCGCCCCCGCATCCGTCGGACGGCGAGGGTTAATGATACATGCAGTACCTGATACGAGCATAAGGTTAAAACATGCCTAATTTCATTTCAATAATAACGCTCGAAAGCGTCACAGCTAGACAAAAAAGAAAAACTGTACTTAAAAATAAGCGGATGTGAACACAATCTCCTTGACCGAATCCTTACAAAATGCAAGTCACGGGCCATGGCACCCCAGAAAACCTTGCTTAAAAAGACCCACTGAATCGCCACGAAATCAAGTGCTTTAACATAGGCGTGTCATCTCTATGTATATAAGATCTCTATGAGTGTGCCAGCTTTCTTGGACCGTATGGAGTTAATGGCCCAGATAAGGAGAACCGGATTTTTAGAACTTATCCATACCTTCAAAACTCATGGAAACGTCTTAAATTCTTCAAATTTTGAGTACCCCAGTGCGAAATTCGCCCCGACGGGTTGTCGGTCGTACCCCAACCACATTTCACACCACTATGAACAATAAATGCACACACTGAAATCGCTATTACCGATATGCTCATCCAATCAAGTTTCGATAAACCCGTTCATCATCAGCTCCTGCGGTTTCGAACACGCCTGTTAGTTGGCTTCTGATGCTCGTCGAGGTCGGAATTTCCAAATACGCGTGGTGCGTCGGGCCGCGCGCTCTGACTTTTGGCCAAGAAAAATGCGTCAGCTGATCATTGTCATTTCTGCCACTTACGTGTGGTGAAATGGGGTCATAACTTATAAGACGGCTTTTTCATATCAATTATTTTACATAAAATCATATTTCAAACCATAAATAATGTTCGACAGCCAAATAAAAGAAACAATACCAATACGGGCTTACAGTTTAAGGCTCGACTTTGTGTTGTCTACGATTAGACAGCTGATAACTCATTCCCGTACGTCGTATGGTCGTAACACTATAATGATCTTTGCTTATTGTCACAAGTGCGCCGCATTCGCGATTGTTGCCCGACGCCTGTTTGCAGGTGAGCCCACTACAGTTGTTATACATATCTAAAAACCGATAAACTTTTAGGCGAAAAAGGCACTATTCCAGGCCCATTTTTGATTTTTTTTTTTGCGATATTAGGTAAAAACAGAAGCTTCTTATCCTAGGAAAAATAAAATGGGAAATCTTTCAAAGGTGGCACACTACCTTTAAGCGTCTGTGCGGTAACATTTTAAAAAGTGATTGGAAAGAGCAGCAAAAGTTGTATTATGTATCAATTTTTCACTCTCATATACCTTATGAATAAAAAGGGTAGCGCCCATAAGCGGCCAAAAAATGTGTAAACATGCCCACCCTCCCCCGCAGTGATTGCCCACGCTGCACGATTTTTATCGCCTGGGAGAAAGGGCATTATAGGACCTAACAATTATCTCTTGTTTTAGGTCCTGATTTGTCGCTCCAACCGCCAACGCGGCCAGAACCAACAGCGACACCGAGAGAGCCACTGAGTAAGAAGCCGCGGCAGTCTGATGATCCTGACACGGCAAGCATGTTCCGTCAAGTCAAGGCTGATACAGGTCGGATATTGCACATACTGGAAAAGCCACGAGAGGAAGACAGAAAACAGAATGTGCCCTTCAACGAAGACCTGCTGAGAGCCGCACGGGGAGTGGAAGCACTCCAACATGCTTCAGGACGGTACCTCGTTGCAGATGAGAGCAAAAACCTGCTCTACTGTTCTGTGTGTGCGCCCGAAAACAGGGACCAGGAAGTGAGTAGCCGCGTACAATCCGGCACGTTCCGGTACGATTTCGGCCAGAAATCGTCGTTTTCGTCAAGCGAAAACCTACCAACTCATTTTCGCTTGATGAAGCTGGCTGTGACCAGACATTTGAAGTCCGCCGCTCATGTCGCGAAAGTTGAGAAAGACCTCAAACAGTGCGAAGCGAACAAAGCGAAAGAGAAAAAAGCGAAGAGTGCAGAAATGAACGTGCTGCGTTCCGCTTACCTCGTCTTCAAGGAGTCCGGCTCTGGCGAGACGTTTTCAAAATGGATCGTTTGCCAGAGCATGAACGGGACAGATGTGGGGAACATAAATCACTCCAAAAAGTTGCTGCCACAGGCCAGGCAAGCCTTCTACGAAGCAATAATGAGCAAGCTGAAAGATCACGTGTCCGGACAGCCCTGCGTGTCTGTCTTGGCAGACAAGGTGACCATCAATCGGAGGACGGTCGACGTTGTGGCCATCCTGACTGTTGTGCCCGAGGCTCCAGCGAGCAGCATGCTGCAGAGCTATGTGGTGGCAGCGCCGGTGGTAAAACTGCACGATGGCGCTAGCCTCGCCAAGGAGATCCAGGAGGCCCTGGCCACAATCGGAGTGACAAAAACTGAGCAACTGGCAGCTATCGCTGCAGACGGGCAGTACCACCGGCTAGGCGTGCCTGAAAAGCTGTTGAGCAGCATGCGTGCTGAAGGACAGGAAAGATCAGGGCCGGCATGTGTAGCGGCTATTTGGGACAGTGCACACCTAATGAATCTTGCTGAAGCTGACGCAAGGAAGGAACACCTGTGGGTCCAAGAGACGATAAAAGTGATAACTGAAATATCAAAAAGGTTCACCTACGGCAAAGGACTGGAGGAGCTGATGGATACGGGCAAACAGATGGGCATCAGGACAAAGAGACCAAAACTGTGGTCGGGAACCAGATTCGCTCCGCACGCCGCTACAGTGCTCGGTGCGTTCCTGCACAACTGGGAACCAATGAAGGCCGTTCTCAGGGAGCGCCTTCAGACCGAGACGAGGAAGGAGTACGCTGCAGAGATACTTGGAGATCTCAAGAAACTGAAAGGTAAGATCCAGTACTGTATGTTGCTGCATGCAGATTTCAACGTCTTCGCTCACATCAATTTCAATCATGAAAACATTAATCGTAATCAGAAACTTAATATATATTTTCGAACTGAATAGATATATTACGTAATATTATGTTAACATGAACAATTTTGAATGATTTTTCATTAGAACTCGGAAAGAGGAGGGCTTTATCAGACGCTCTCGATTGCATCTCCAATTAAATATGTCATTTGTCAACTATCTACATAGATGTTTTTGTTTTCATCCAATCACCTTTTGAATCGCTATCGAATATCGATGGCGGAAGATGTCGGCGCAGGACCATCACTGAATACAGGAGTATTTCCTTTAAGGGCTTAAACAATGACTTTGTTGCGTACCATACACCTGTGTTTAATGTTTTCTTCACTCATTTGTGCTGCAGACGATGACTTCAAGGCCCGTGTAGCCGCACTCAAGGACGTGTACGACATCCTCGGGCGCGGCAGTCGGGAGGTCCAGCGAGTGCAGAGTTTGCCGTGGGAGTCGCGAAGAGGCTACAGAAGCACCGTAGCCAGCGTGAAGTGTGTACGGACAGCCGTAGAGGCATTCTCGGCGTCCGCTCGCACTGCAACGGAGGCAGCAGATGCGGTGGCCCACGCTGACCTGGACGAGCTCTGCCCCACGCTGTCGCGTCACAAGGCCGCTCTCCGCAAGGGCTCTGTGGTAAGTTCAGGCGAAATCTCGTTCCCTTGGTTTTATGTAGTGCCTGTCCGCGTGCTACGCTCTGCCGCTGTAGCATGGCCGGTGAGCTTACCGGCCGAGCGCGGTGTACATAAGTTAAGCCTGAAACAGACTCTTTCCGCAGTCAGGAAATCGCATGCGAGAGCCTATTCAAATACATGAAAGCACGCTCGCATCAATCGCACGCACCTCCCGCAAGCGATTGATGCGAGAAGAATTATAATGTATTTGAATAGGCTCTCGCATGCGATTTCCTGAATGCGGAAAGAGTCTGTTTCAGCCTTTACGGATGGTGTGGAGCCGAGTTGTACGGAGTGGCGGGCCGTCGCTGTCAAACCGGGTGAATTTTGGGCTGAGCGCCGGACTGATTGCTTGGCTTCTTAATTATTATGTAGTGTTCACGTTTGATATAGGTAGGTACATTTGAGCAATTAACCAATCTTTCATTTTCTTGCTTTTAACGGATGATGATTGTCACATAGCAGCCCATACTTTTGCAAAATGTATGTAGCTGTCTTTTTTTTCTAAAAGCCCAATATCTTCCGTGTAAACACCTTCATACCAGCAAACAGGTCACAATAGAAACAGGTGTGTACAACAAACACAGCTAAATCTGATTGAAGCGCCCGATACACTTGAGCACTGAGCTGCGTCGCGCACGAGATATGGAGCCAGCTCTTGGTCAGCCGGAGGTCTCTACTTATTTCCAAGCCTTGCACAATGCACAACACAATCTGCTCTCATCTCCTCGTACATTTTCTGTACCTCGCCAGGTGGTTTGAAATTGGGCTGGTCGAGGCTTTTAGAGCTACTATGCCGTGGTTTCCTGACACTGGAGATGGTGATCTATCATCTATCTGTCTCTGAGCTGAAAATATAGAAGCAGATGCTTTTACAAATTATTTGTAGCTGTCTCTAAGATGAAACAAGTATTAGCCAAACAGCCAGCCATTGCTCCCTTTTAACACAAACTTTTATTTTTGTTAACAGGCCACGGACGTCGTCGGCTTTGGTTTGGCACTGGAGACGGCTCTGAAGACGAGGAGCCACGGAACCGTGTCCTCAGGTGGTCAGAGGGGAACGTCCAACAAAGACGTCATGGACGCAATGTGCGACATCAGAGACGTGGCCGACCTGCAGAGGCTCCAGACCGGTAAGGCCCTCGCCAGTGGTGTGGCAGACGCCAGCCGGCGTCTGATCATACGGAGGCTGATCCCGCCCTCTGCGGAGGTGTCGGCTAAAAGTGCCGAGGCAGCCATCAGACTCCTCGGTGAAGCATCGCAGAGTCTCGGCAACGCCGAGCTCCTCAGACTGCTTTGGAGTCGGCGATCGTCCAATGCAGAGGTGCAGCAGTACCTGGAAACCTGCATTCGACTCTGGCTACTCTCTCCACCAGAGAGCGTGGTGGAGAGTATGGCCAGTGTGCTTGGTGAGGTGTTTGGCGCGCACCGTAATTTAGATCACGAGAACGCTGCCAAAGAACTGGTCATCAGGTGGAACGGCCCAGACCTGGCACACTCTAACTCTGTGGTAGCGTCAGCTGCTGCGTCACTCAGGAAAAAGTTCCGCACCACATCGGACAGCAGCCGCCTGAAGACTGCTCTCGGCGCTGTCATCGCTGGACGAATGGCGAAACAGTGCCCTCGCGCCTCCGTGTTTAAGTGAATAGCTATGACTTCTGATATGTGCTGGGTAGCCGGTAATGATGCAAATCAGGCGAGCTTGGGTGCCGATCATACTGAGGATTTTTGGACGCCACTGGACGACGCGAACACCCTGAAAGAGCGAGCCAGACTTAGATGCAACTATGTTATTTGGTTGACAGTGATGGTAGCAACACTATGTCGTGAGTACCCCGTCCAAATTCATTCATTTGGGAGGCGGTGAGTGAAAGACGCCATTTGTTTTTGTATTGTTTTGTACATATTGTTTACCATCGTGAGGCTAAACCATCAGTGAGGTTCTCACATTGCGTGTTTTAACAAAATAGAATTGAATGTGTGGAAAGACTAGCTGAGTTTATACTTCGCAAATAGCTTTGGACGTGCGTCTGTTCGACTGTCATTGAATGCTTTTGATGTGAGTAGAGCCGACTAAACTGCACATGCAAACATACGACGCGTTTCTCTAGTTGAGATTGTGCTATTTTCCTGCCAATGGAACAAAAAGCACGTTATGGTAAATTTTCCTTCGCCTAGGAAAATGTGACACATTTCGAGCTGTCTGAATTCCGTTGGTGACAGTCCGGACACTTTGTGCACCTCTGCCTGGAGTTGGCACCACTGTGAGTTTCCGTTTGTGTAAATCCTTTTAATCCATTGTAATCTCAAAGCTTCGTAGCTTTTGAAAACGTCAGGGGCCTTCAATCCTCCGTCCTGAATGTCAAGAGAGAGTGAACTGTGGGCGACTTTGGGTGGTCTACCTCGCCATATGAACTTCATAAGTAGACTTTGTATTGAGTGCAGACCTACTTTAGGAATAGTCGAGATTGACGTTACATAAACTAGCTTGGAAATCAACAAAGACTTACAAATGGTAATACGACCTTTAATGGTCATATTTCTTTGGCACCAGCTATTTGTTGCATTTCTAATACTCTGTATAATCGGCGCTATGTTCTCCTCATCACATTGTTTTGTAGCACTGTGAATGATTCCAAGAATTTTAATTTTAGAAACCGCTTCTATTCCACACACGCTTTCCATGTTGAAGCGTGTGGCGCCTAACCACATCATTTTGGTTTTGGATCTGTTGATTTTCAATCCTGATGCTTTTCTAAATTCATCTAATATCGATAATGCCTTTTGTAACGACTGCCGGCACTTCAAAAACATCGTCGTGTCATCGGCGTACATACTCATTTTGACCTCGGTGCCGCTTATCGAAATGCCATGAACTGCACTGTCCCTCCTGATTCTGTTTGCTAACATTTCGCCAACTAAATTGAAAAGCAATCCACTTAGTGGGGATCCTTGAAAAGTGCCACGGGCACAATCAAACCAGTCAGACGTGTAACCATTGTTGCAAACAGCAAGCAGCGCTCCTTTATTTTCCAACTGTTTTGCGAGTGCTTTGATCTCGCTGTCTCGATCCATACCTTCACTCTCCAGAAGTGTAATCCGCTTCTCCAGGCGCTCGAATTTGACGTCAAAGGTTTTGATCACTTTTGAGATGCCTGCGTTGATCATCTCCTGAATGGAGGTCAGCGTGTCCGTGTTCAGGCTCACCGTAGCCGCGGAGCCGGGCCTGCCCGCAGCGGCCGGTCCGACCGCCCCGGGCGCGGCTGAGTCAGCGGACGCTCCGCCACCGGCGCCAGGCGAGCCGCGGTTCGGCGCCGCCCGCTTGGGCCGACGGCCTCCGACGCGGTGAACGGGGTCGGAGACGGGGGCACGACGCTTCCGACGCAAGCCCTCGGTCCCTGAGGTGGCGCAGTCGGTCGAGAAAATCTCGTCGCCGCTGTCCGAGTCCGAGGTCATAATGCCGGACCAGCTCAGACGGACGGGACCAGCTCAGACGGGCGGGCAGGCTTCCCTCACTTGTTACGGGGCTCACTGTTCGACTGTCGCCAACGTCGCGTCGCCACCACGAGTCACAATTAAGCACTGTTTGTTAGGCCCTGCTCGGTACCTCCCACCGCCCGGGCGCACGCACTCGCGCTCACGCCACCAGCATGCCGGGAGCCGCGGAGGGGCGGTCCAACCTCGGCCGGGGTCAGACGCCAAAAGGTCATTGACCTTTGGTGACCTCGGGTGACCTCGGTTCACTTTTTCGAGTTTTACATGTTTCTAGGCTAGTTTTTGGAGCTGAATTCGAATTTGGCGACCATTTGAACATTTACGAAGTAGTTTTGGTGCCTTCGTAACATGTTACGAAGCTGTCAGAGGCGGTTGACACGTATTACGAATACCCGTCACAACCCCTACCGGTTGACCTGACCTGACCTGACCCGACCTGGTCTAAATGCTTAGACATCATCTCTGATCAAAGCTAACACGATATTCGTGATCAGCACCCCGGAAAACCACATAACAGCCACAATTTACGACTTTCTAACAGGTCCCGATTTTCCCGGTTTTCGGGTCATTGACCTGACCTGGAAGGTCACCCGATGACCTAGGACCTTAAAATTGGGTATCATCGGCTTCGTCTCGTGACAGGCAACACGCTCGTTTTTTTTCCGCGAAGCTCTAGCTCGATCAAGGGTCAAACGCGAGGGGGGGGGGGTCGTACCAACCCCCCCCCTTGTGCCGTCGAAGGACGCAAAATGGCCTGTGCCGGCGAGGGTTAAGGCAATTGCCTGGGTTTCCGTTATTTGAAAAAGGTGTTTAATCGCCCGGTGAATCAAGTGGAAGGGGTGAGTCGGCCAGTGATGTCGAGATAAGCCACCAATTAAGTGCAGCCTGCTCTGCATGGACTAGGTCAAGATGTTTTCTTTCTATTTCTGAGTATAATTATAACCCAGTGCGCATAATTATAACGCGCATACAGCGAGCCCACACCTCTCTGCATCGGTGATCAGACCATTTCCTCGTGCAGCGGTGTGCAGCAGGGTGACCCACTCGGCCCGGCGGCTTTCGCGCTGGCTCTAGACCCGATCATCAGAAGAATGCAGTCACCACTAAATGTGTGGTACCTCGACGATGGGACCATCGGAGGTCCGGCTGACCTAGTCGCCGCCGACTTAGCAGTCCTGGCGACAGCCCTGCCTACAATCGGTCTGCAACTGAACGCCAACAAGTGCGAGGTCGCATTTGCCGGTCCAACGCCGCCACCATCACTTTTGGAGTCGCTACGAGGTACCCTCCCAGGACTGAAGGAGACTCTAGCAAGCGATCTCTCCCTCCTAGGATCTCCCTTGACCGACGCTGCGCTGCCTGTCGCCACCACCAGGGCTGCGGCCGTCATAGACCGGATGTGTGCCCGGATCAGCAACCTTGACGCTCACTCCGGTCTATTCCTTTTGGCACACTACACGGCAGCCCCCCGGCTAACCTACCTTCTGCGGTCGGCGCCGCTGTATCGTGAGCCGGGGCCGCTGCTGAATGTCGACAAGACAGTGCGGGAGACCCTCGCCACCGTCACCAACGTCACCATCAATGATGAAGCGTGGGAGCAGGCTTCCCTACCACTGCGTTTTGGAGGACTTGGAGTCCGGTCGGTGATGGCATTGGCCCTGCCGTGTCACATGGCATCCCTCCACGCTTGTCTGCCACTGACGCAAGAGATTCTCCATGCCACCGAGCCTCGCCAGCCGACCCAAGCACTCCAGCGTGCCAGGGCCGATATTGTCGCCAAGCTCGGTGAAGCCGCTCGTCAGGTGCCCCAGTCAGAAGAGTGCAAACAGCGTGCTTGGGATGAGACGTTCTGTAAGATGTCTCAGAAGCGTCTGCTGGACGGGGCAAACCAGGTGGCCCGGGCGCGTCTTCTGGCTGCTGCACTGCTGCAGAGCCCCACACTGCCGCTTGGGTGCAAGCACTCCCCGTCACCAGTGTGGGACTCCATCTGGATGATGAAACTGTGCGGGTAGCAGTGGCGCTGCGACTCGGGGCGTCGGTATGTGAACCGCATAACTGTCAGCTCTGCCATCGCCCCGTTGACCGACTGGGCCACCACGGTCTCTCCTGTACCAAGAGTGCTGGCCGCCACGCGCGTCACGCTAACCTCAATGACGTGCTGCGGCGGGCACTCAGCAGTACAGGGCTCGAGAGTGTTTTGGAGCCCACCGGCCTCGACAGAGGTGACGGTCGACGTCCTGACGGGATAACGCTCTTCCCTTTCAGCCGAGGAATGAGCCTTATATGGGACGCCACCTGCTGTGACACCTTCTCAGCAACTGCCGTCATCAGCTCTGCCTTAAATCCCGGCAGCGCCGCCCGCTGTGCAGAAGAACGCAAGCGCGCCCGCTATGCCGCTCTCCGTGAGAGATATGTGTTCATTCCTTTTGCGGTTGAGACTTCTGGTGTCCTGGGTCCGGCGGCCACAGGTCTCATGAAGGAGCTTGGCCGTCGGCTGACGTGCCGCACCGGGGACAAACGAGAAACAGTCTGGCTGGCACAAAGGGTTTCAATCGCTGTGGCAAGGGGCAACGCTGCCTCCGTGCTGGCCACAGCTAAACCAGCAGCGGCCAACAGACCGGGACCGTCACCGACGCCATCGTCCAGGCTGACCCCGAGCATGAGCACTCCGTCAAGCGAGGCACCGGATGACGAGTCTGCTGCGGGGCCGCCGCTGGACTCAGTGGCTGACCCACCGGACCACCCACCACCACTGACCCCTGCGGACGGCTGTCGAGAGGAGCTGCGCATGACACGCTCGCGGTCCTCTTCCCTGTGCTGTCCCGGTGCGTGCGCGTGTCCGACTCTTAACAGCAGGTCCAGGATTTGAGCGGACCGTGGCCTGCTCAATGCTCATGTAAAGTGTGAATTTTGTATGCGTTCTGCTCTACACGTAGGCAGTTGATCGCTTTAAAGATGTTGCTGTGCCGATGCCGAATGGATGGGCTCATGCTTATATTTCAATTTATTGATTGAGAATGAAAAGCAGGATTCTGCAGGAATTCAACCATAACAGCATGACATGTGATCTTACATGGCACATTTTGATTATAACCCCATTAGTGTGACATCGTTCCTCACTTGTAGCAACAAAATTTGTTGCTTCTTTATTCATTTATATAGGTATTCTTTTCCTAAAGCTACTGTGATCTTTTCACAACTTGATAGGTCACAACCCTTTCGCTAAGCCTTTACGCAAGCCCTTCGTAACCCTTTCGCAGCCTTTTCATAAGTCATTCGAAACAACTCTTTAGTAAACTCATGGTAACCCTTTCTCAGCCTTTTCTTAGTTCATTCAGAGCAACCCTTTCATAACTTATTTGTAACTTGAACCATGTGCAACATTTTCATAGCACATTAAAAAAAAACCCTTTCGTAAATTATTTGCAACCCTTTTGCGACATTTTCCTGACTCATTCGAAAAAGGCTTTTCATTAACTTATTATAACCCTTTCACAGCCTTTTCATAATTCATTCAAAGCGACTTTCTATAAATTATTTTCGTTTCGTTTCGTGTATTGTTGAGACCATCCACACCGTGGCTATTCGAGTCTCCCGTCATACATGTTGTAAAAGCAAAGTGACGCTAAAATATCGACAAGTTGTACATACACATAATGCCACATTACACACGATAAAACATATACTGCGATAAAAACATGATAAGAAAAGTGGGATGAG